CCTCGCAGACGTCAAGCCGCCTGCTATCGCTGTATCTATCGATGATTTCTGTGTTGTTTGCTAAGATTTGTCTGGTGATGGTTTGTTTGTGGGAAGAGATTATATGTTCCTTAATGGAGCCCTGTTGCTTATGCATCGTTAAACGCCTGGAAAGAGATGTTGTTGTCTTGCCTATATACTGGGTTTTTTGAGGCTTAGTCCCCAAGAGGGCATTTGAAGGCATAGACGACGTTGGTCTCTTTTAAAGCGTTCTGCTTTGTGTCTGGAGAATTTCTCATGAGTAGGCTGGCCGTTTTTCTGGTTTTATAGTAAATCGTCAGTTGTATACAAGAAGGTACATTGGGTTTGTGAGAATACATTGGCTAGTACAGTATTTACACTCTTGTAAAGCCACTAGTACGTGCAGCGTTTCGGGCAGGTCCTTAATCTAGCAGATAATTTTAAGTAGGTAATTTCTATCAGAATTGATAAATGATAAAGATACATTGCAAGAGAAAAATGAGATGAGAGAGCTTAGTAAGTATATTAAAGCACATTGTTATATTAAAGCTCTGATTGATTACATTGACAGCTTGATTAGTAATTTAAACAAGATTAATAGACATCATACAGCAGATTGACAGCACATATAAGACAGCAATGATCACAATGGTAAAGATGTTCAGATTGGGTACAAAAAGATTGGGAGAACGGGTAGCAATAGATACAGATAAACAAGATTAATAAACACCAAACAGCAGATTGGCAGCACATATAAGAAGACAGCAATGATCACAATGGTAAAGATGTTCAATTTGGGAACATAAAGGTTGGGAGATTGGGTAGCAATAGATACAATGCAATTTTAAGGCAAAAAGTGAAAAACTATGAAGATGAAATTAGGTACTTTTTAGTATTGATTTTGAATGATGTAAAAGTTGGACAGCTTTTCAATTCAATAGGGAGTGAGTTCCATAAATTGGGTCCCTTTATTTGCATAGAGTGTTTACACATTAAGTTTAACTCTGGGGATATCAAAGAGATATTTATTTCTGGTGTGGTGATAATGGGTCCTATTACATCTGTCCAGGAAGAGTTTCAGAGCAGGATTTGCATTTAAGAACAGGGTTTTGTAAATTTAGTTGACACAAGAGAATTTATGGAGTGAGATTATGTTTAGCATGTTTAGTGAGTTAAACAAGGGGGCTGAGTGTTGTCTGAAAGCAGAATTTGATATTATTCTGATAGCAGATTTTTGCTGGGTGATGATGGACTTGAGGTGGTTTGCAGTAGTTGAACCCCATGCACAGATACCATAGTTGAGATAGGGATAGATTAGTGCATAATATAGAGAGATGAGAGCAGAGTTAGGTACATTTCTTAAACAATTTGGCGAGGTAGTGGAAAGGGTTACAGAGGCACATAATGGGCTCAGGGATTGAACCCCACAATTCATTTAGCTAAACAAGTTACAATCGTGATGAGCTAGTTACAAAATTCAATGCACATCGTCAAATCAACAATGACCTCGAGACCGACCACAAGTACAGTTTCTGAATTAAACAACTGACATATGTGGAAAGCTAGTGTCACAATTGATATGTTTGTCATGCACACCGTCCCCCATCCAGTGGGCAGCGGTGGATAGATTACTATCACTCAATAACTATCTACCGTTAGAGTTAATAACTATCTATCTACAAATATCTGGGGATATTTGGCCAAGACTTCTGGCCGCAGATCATTTTGAATGAAATATTTACACATCTGTTGAACATTTATTTTTTAATTGTCTCAGAATTCACGTATCTTTTAGTACTCTATCACATAGTGACGGAGGGTGGGCGAATAATTTTGTTGACACAGTTTACATTTGTTCCAGTCTACATCAGCATATAGTAAAAATTTCCAGAGATACTTGCTCATGCTGGCCACTCCTGTTGTTGTTGTTGAGTTAGGGGCGACGACGATCGTGGGATCGGATGCGCCCCGGCGTACCCGTGAAGGGTGAATCGCAAAGCCAGGAAAGACGAAACGCCAAGCCAAAACGCGAAACGAGTGACGCCAAGCACTAGAAACTAATACGCCACACGGCAAAGCAACGCACAAAGGGAGAGGCAGATGCACATAATAAAAGAACAGGGCAAACAAACAGCCAGAAGGGCACACAGCATGTCATAGAGCAAATGCACAGGAAATCAGAGCACATACTTGCCCGGGAACCTGGCCCGCGGGAACCATACATTAAACGCCTCCCAGAACACCCATTGCAAAGGGTCCCGTCCATCCACCGGGGACGCCATAACATCCGGAACAAAGGCAACAAACACCTGCAAATTGGGGACCCAGATGGTAGTACTCATGAGGCGAGAAGTTGCTACTCGCCCCCACAGAAAGGGAACTTGCCCACCATGTAAGCACTCCGGTCCGTCAGACAGCAGTAACTCGGCAATCTTTGACCAGTGACCCGGCGGCATCACAGACGCCGGCAACACGTACCCCAGGGCCCCAACGCGCACCCTCACCACAGGGGTACCCACGGCCCCGGGCACACCACCAGACAACAGCAGGGAACCCGGACGGCACGCATCCTTCCGTAACGTCACCACCAGGCCACGCCCAGCACCAGAGTCCACACCATCCCTGGCAGCGGAAGCCACCACCCCCCACTGTGGAGAGTCCCCCGGCGGAGAACGAACCGAAGGCACGTCCGAGACACAGGCACCAGCACCAGCAGGCACATGGACCTCTGCCACCACGAACCGCGGAGACATCTACGCATCCGTATCCACACTGTCAATACCCGAAGACCCGCAGTCACTGCAGTCACCAACGTCGGCCTAGGCAGAAGACGAACGCCGGGAACGTTTGGGCACCAACCGGATATCGTCAAAACCGGTAAGTGACCCAGAAACACGGGTACCACGAGCCGGAGGAACCGACGCCCGACACAGAACGGCAGCAGCCTCTACCACAGGGGAAACTGGGCCACACACAGCAGGAGGCCCCGCAGCCACCGCAGCACCAAGCACATCCAGGACCCAAGTCACGGACACAGGGCCAGGCGCAGCATTAGAAGACGAGGGAGAAAACAGCGACGTCACACGGGAAGCTCCAGGAAGGCCCACGGGAGCAGCTGGAACAGCGACAGGGTCAGGCAAACCAACCGACGGTACCTCAAGAACCGAAGGAGGGACGGCAACAACCGGAGGAACGGCAGGCGCCGCCGGGAAAGCTGTAGCAGCAAACGGGACGCGCACCACCTCATCAACATCACCGGAGACTGCCTCCAGAGGGAGCGGTGGGAAATCCTCGTCGCGGAACAAGTTGACAGGAGCAGCAGGGGCCTCAGAGCACCCGGCAGCCATATGCCCCAACAGGCCACACCGGAAACAGGTACGAGGCTGCCGGGCATAATACACCTGGACGTAGTATCCCATAAGCCGGACAGAAGAAGGTATATCCGACCGCAGGTGCATCCCCAACGTGCGAATGTTTGTACGCCTCCCAGCATACCACCCCGAGGAGAGCGTGTTCACCCGCACGCTGACAACAGTACCAAACCCCCCGAAGTAACGCCGGAGGAGGTCATCAGGGAACTCCAGGGGCGCACCATGGATACTGACATAAGTCAGGACACCACTATGGTCCGAAATCGCCACAGAGCCGGCATCGTCAGGCAACGGCAACGTACGCCCACCGTACCGACGGAGGAAGTCCCGGTACTCGTCCTCCCCCACGAACTTAATAACAACCCGATGGGCCGTACCTAGCTCCACACCGTAAACAGCTTCCACCGGGATACGAAGCATGTCACACATCACCATCGTCGGATAACCAGCCTTACAAGTGAACTCCAGGCCCACGGAGTTCACACGCTGAACAGGAGAAAGATGGCCCCCCATGTCAGAACTGCCACGTCAACGCAGCCAGGCAGGCAACAAAACTGGTAGGGCAGGGACGCCCACACCACCTGGCGACCAAAACAGCAAACAACTCCAACAGCCACGGAGGGTCGGTATACGTCCTCACTCCACGGCCGCTAGCAGTCGACTCCTGGCCACTCCTGGAGGACTGCCTCTTGCTGTCCAAGGAATCCCCCACATCATTTTTGAGGAAATAAAATTGTATAGTAAGAAGGAAACTACACAGGTGTCAGTACGATCACAGCCGTCCACCGGGAACAGAAAATGGTATCAGGTACGGTCAACAGATGGGATTAACATTGTCACATTATGACAAAGTAGGAAGCGAAAATTAAATTATGTTAACATTAGCACATCGCTCGTCATCTCCACCCATCAGATTCGCGAAGTATTCTCTGCCAACATTTTCTATCCATCTCTATGCCATTTAGCATTCTCTCTTGTTTATCTTTTGATTTGTAACAATTTCTCTTGTTATTTATCTCTCCAAATAAATGGTAATGCAACGATACAATATTTAAGCAAATCCATAAGGGCTGTCGTGTGTAGGTTCGAACCTACGCACGGGATGTTCCGAGAAGTTCCTTAGTCAACTGAACCATGACATGTTCAAAAGAATTGCAACATGGTGTGGTACTGCCCTCAATAGAATCCCAAAGCTTCTCCGAAACTTATCGGGGTGTCACACAATTCCCCCATGCACCCGGGCTCTGTCAACCGACGCCCTTACTTCAATACACACACAAAAATCACAATAACATGATATAACAAGTTATTGAAGTATTTATGATCACGTTATTGAAGTATATTGAAGTATGGGCGTAGATGTAGAACATCTGGCTGACAGAGCCCGGGTGCATGGGGGGAATTGTGTGACACCCCGATAAGGTTCGGAGAAGCTTTGGGATTCTATTGAGGGCAGTACCACACCAAGTTGCAATTCTTTTGAACATGTGGTTCAGTTGACTAAGGCGCTTCTGAGAACATCCCGTGCGTAGGTTCGAACCCTCAGCACGGCCCTTGTGGATTTGTTTATTTGATATATCACGTTATTGTGATTTCTGTGTGTATACAACATTTATATGTGGCCCTCAGGTGCTGGCCTGCCCTCAGAGAGCGTAGCCACCCACAGCGAGGCGCTCTCTCAAGAGCTCCGTCATGCCCTCCACACTGGCCACGCCGGCACCAACCTCAGGCAGGTCGCCCAGGGTAAGTTGCCTCTCCCATCACCACTGTCCCAGGGTAAGTTGTCACTTCCATCACCACTGTCCCAGGGTAAGTTGTCACTTCCATCACCACTGTCCCAGGGTAAGTTGTCACTTCCATCACCACTGTCCCAGGGTAAGTTGTCACTTCCATCACCACTGTCCCAGGGTAGGGCACATGCCACCAGTACCAAAGGATTAAATAAATAATGATAGAAATCCAATAGGGATTTGCTCGATAAATTTTCATTGACGTGATTTTTAACCTATATTAAATATTGGTCTCTCAATGCGTGATGTTTTCATCCGTCCAGACCTGAACCTTAAGAGCCTGGTGCTAGAGGAGTCCCATATGATGACTCGGGGTGTCGAAGGCGACGTCAACCTTATATGTGTTATGTGCCACACCGGCGTCAACGAGCTCCTCTACTTGGTGAACAACGGCACCGACCCCGACGTCGTCGTCAACTCTTTGATCCTTCTGTGCGTCGACCTCGGCATCTCCAATCATATCTTCTGCGAAAGCATAATCAACGAGGTTGAGGTGAGATTTCCAAGTTCACATTTCGTTTCCAAGCATCGTGGTAGTATGTGTCGATGAGGAAGGTAAGGTAATAATTATCAGGAGAAAGCACTAAACCATTATGACTATATAGCGCTTGGAAGAGGGAAATGGGGATAAGGGTTTAGGATAGGACGGGGGAAAGGAATGGTGCCCATTTGGAGGTTCAGAAATAGAACGCCGACCTGCAAGAAGCGAGACCGTCGCTCTACTGTCCAGTTCAAATCGTGACCAATATGAAGTTACTTAATTCTCAAATTTAAAAAAAAAATAAAGAGTAGGATAATAAAAGGATTTTAATAATCGTAAATCCAACCACTTGGCTTGGACGGTAGAGAGACGATCTCGTTTCTTGTTTCTATTGCTGTTGATTTAGGGGCGACAACGATCGTGGGATCAGATGCACCCCGGCGTACCAGTGAAGGGTTAATCACGAAGCCCGGAAAGGTGAAATGCCAAGCCTAATCGCGAAACGAGTAACGCCAGTCACTGGAAACTAATATGCCTCGCGGCAAAGAAACGCAGACAGGCAGATGATTGGGGAGCCTCTGGCCTGGAGTCCCTCAGGGTGCAAGCACCGGCCCCGCCCCACACAGAGAACACTGGGTAGCCAAACCCAAATCTCGGCCCCAAGCTAAAACGCAAAAGTTATCCAGTGTCATCCAGCAGTGCAGAAGCCAAGCCGCCCACCACGTCTGAGAGCACATGCACCAAGAGCCCACCGCATCTGAGAGCACATGCACCAAGAGCCCACCGCGTCTGAGAGCACATGCACCAATTAAGAGCCCACCACGGCTGAGGGCACACCAGGACCCCACTCACGGCACCTCTTGGCCAATTAAGCCGGCACCGCGGACACCGTCACCCCGACGGGAGAACCAGCCAAAACACGTTAAAACAATATATATATATATATACATATATATATATATATATATATATATATATATATATATATATATATATATATATATATATATATATATATATACAACTTTAGAACACTTTCCCACCAGGAGACTCGAACCCTAGCCAGCACAGAAGCCTTCCAGCAACTGGCATAACAGGTACGCCTTAACCCACTCCACCACCCGCTCAGACCCTTAAAAGAGATGGTAATTTCGGAGTATTTAAATACACCAAAGATCACCACCTCCCAAGAGCACTAGAGCAAGTGAGGGGTCATTTAGACGTCAATTTCATCAAGTCCCTGTTAATATGGGAAGACACAGTGTCTATGCTTAAGGCACAACTCTTCTAAACACGAGAGTGAAGTATAAACTTTAGAACACTTTCCCACCAGGAGACTCGAACCCTAGCCAGCACAGAAGCCTTCCAGCAACAGGCATAACAGGTACGCTTTAACCCGCTCCACCACCTGCTCAGACCCTTAAAAGAGATGGTAATTTCGGAGTATTTAAATACACCAAAGATCACCACCTCCCAAGAGCACTAGAGCAAGTGAGGGGTCATTTAGACGTTAATTTCATCAAGTCCCTGTTAATATGGGAAGACACAGTGTCTATGCTTAAGGCACAACTCTTCTAAACACGAGAGTGAAGTATACAACTTTAGAACACTTTCCCACCAGGAGACTCGAACCCTAGCCAGCACAGAAGCCTTCCAGCAACTGGCATAACAGGTACGCCTTAACCCGCTCCACCACCTGCTCAGACCCTTAAAAGAGATGGTAATTTCGGAGTATTTAAATACACCAAAGATCACCACCTCCCAAGAGCACTAGAGCAAGTTAGGGGTCATTTAGACGTTAATTTCATCAAGTCCCTGTTAATATGGGAAGACACAGTGTCTATGCTTAAGGCACAACTCTTCTAAACATGAGAGTGAAGTATACAACTTTAGAACACTTTCCCACCAGGAGACTCGAACCCTAGCCAGCACAGAAGCCTTCCAGCAACTGGCATAACAGGTACGCCTTAACCCGCTCCACCACCTGCTCAGACCCTTAAAAGAGATGGTAATTTCGGAGTATTTAAATACACCAAAGATCACCACCTCCCAAGAGCACTAGAGCAAGTGAGGGGTCATTTAGACGTTAATTTCATCAAGTCCCTGTTAATATGGGAAGACACAGTGTCTATGCTTAAGGCACAACTCTTCTAAACACGAGAGTGAAGTATACAACTTTAGAACACTTTCCCACCAGGAGACTCGAACCCTAGCCAGCACAGAAGCCTTCCAGCAACTGGCATAACAGGTATGCCTTAACCCGCTCCACCACCTGCTCAGACCCTTAAAAGAGATGGTAATTTCGGAGTATTTAAATACACCAAAGATCACCACCTCCCAAGAGCACTAGAGCAAGTGAGGGGTCATTTAGACGTTAATTTCATTGCTGGCTAGGGTTCGAGTCTCCTGGTGGGAAAGTGTTCTAAAGTTGTATACTTCACTCTCGTGTTTAGAAGAGTTGTGCCTTAAGCATAGACACTGTGTCTTCCCATATTAACAGGGACTTGATGAAATTAATGTCTAAATGACCCCTCACTTGCTCTAGTGCTCTTGGGAGGTGGTGATCTTTGGTGTATTTAAATACTCCGAAATTACCATCTCTTTTAAGGGTCTGAGCAGGTGGTGGAGCGGGTTAAGGCGTACCTGTTATGCCAGTTGCTGGAAGGCTTCTGTGCTGGCTAGGGTTCGAGTCTCCTGGTGGGAAAGTGTTCTAAAGTTGTATACTTCACTCTCGTGTTTAGAAGAGTTGTGCCTTAAGCATAGACACTGTGTCTTCCCATATTAACAGGGACTTGATGAAATTAACGTCTAAATGACCCCTCACTTGCTCTAGTGCTCTTGGGAGGTGGTGATCTTTGGTGTATTTAAATACTCCGAAATTACCATCTCTTTTAAGGGTCTGAGCAGGTGGTGGAGCGGGTTAAGGCGTACCTGTTATGCCAGTTGCTGGAAGGCTTCTGTGCAGGCTAGGGTTCGAGTCTCCTGGTGGGAAAGTGTTCTAAAGTTGTATACTTCACTCTCGTGTTTAGAAGAGTTGTGCCTTAAGCATAGACACTGTGTCTTCCCATATTAACAGGGACTTGATGAAATTAACGTCTAAATGACCCCTCACTTGCTCTAGTGCTCTTGGGAGGTGGTGATCTTTGGTGTATTTAAATACTCCGAAATTACCATCTCTTTTAAGGGTCTGAGCAGGTGGTGGAGCGGGTTAAGGCGTACCTGTTATGCCAGTTGCTGGAAGGCTTCTGTGCTGGCTAGGGTTCGAGTCTCCTGGTGGGAAAGTGTTCTAAAGTTGTATACTTCACTCTCGTGTTTAGAAGAGTTGTGCCTTAAGCATAGACACTGTGTCTTCCCATATTAACAGGGACTTGATGAAATTAACGTCTAAATGACCCCTCACTTGCTCTAGTGCTCTTGGGAGGTGGTGATCTTTGGTGTATTTAAATACTCCGAAATTACCATCTCTTTTAAGGGTCTGAGCAGGTGGTGGAGCAGGTTAAGGCGTACCTGTTATGCCAGTTGCTGGAAGGCTTCTGTGCTGGCTAGGGTTCGAGTCTCCTGGTGGGAAAGTGTTCTAAAGTTGTATACTTCACTCTCGTGTTTAGAAGAGTTGTGCCTTAAGCATAGACACTGTGTCTTCCCATATTAACAGGGACTTGATGAAATTAACGTCTAAATGACCCCTCACTTGCTCTAGTGCTCTTGGGAGGTGGTGATCTTTGGTGTATTTAAATACTCCGAAATTACCATCTCTTTTAAGGGTCTGAGCAGGTGGTGGAGCGGGTTAAGGCGTACTTGTTATGCCAGTTGCTGGAAGGCTTCTGTGCTGGCTAGGGTTCGAGTCTCCTGGTGGGAAAGTATTCTAAAGTTGTATACTTCACTCTCGTGTTTAGAAGAGTTGTGCCTTATATATATATATATATATATATATATATATATATATATATATATATATATATATATATATATATGTCGTACCTAATAGCCAGAACGCACTTCTCAGCCTACTATTCAAGGCCCGATTTGCCTAATAAGCCAAGTTTTCATGAATTAATGTTTTTTCGTCTACCTAACCTACCTAACCTAACCTAACCTAGCTTTTTTTGGCTACCTAACCTAACCTTACCAATAAATATAGGTTAGGTTAGGTTAGTTAGGGTTGGTTAGGTTCGGTCATATATCTACGTTAATTTTAACTCCAATAAAAAAAATTTGACCTCATACATAGAGAAAAGGGTTGCTTTATCATTTCATAAGAAAAAAATTATAGTAAATATATTAATTCAGGAAAACTTGGCTTATTAGGCAAATCGGGCCTTGAATAGTAGGCTGAGAAGTGAGTTCTGGCTACTAGGTACGACATATATATATATATATATATATATATATATATATATATATATATATATATATATATATATATATATATATATATATATATATATATATATTTATATATATATATATATATATATATATATATATATATATATAACTGAAAACTCACACCCCAGAAGTGACTCGAACCCATACTCCCACAACTGGTATGTACAGGGACGCCTTAATCCGCTTGACCATCACGACCGGACATAAGGAAGTGATAGCCGAGGCTATTTGAACCACTTCCCCCGCCGGCACTCGGATGGTAATCTTGGGCATAGCATTTTATCAAATCACCTCATTCTTTGGGGCACACGTGAGGAACACAAATGCAAACAAGCCTGAATGGTCCCCAGGACTATATACAACTGAAAACTCACACCCCAGAAGTGACTCGAACCCATACTCCCACAACTGGTATGTACAGGGACGCCTTAATCCGCTTGACCATCACGACCGGACATAAGGAAGTGATAGCCGAGGCTATTTGAACCACTTCCCCGCCGGCACTCGGATGGTAATCTTGGGCATAGCATTTTATCAAATCACCTCATTCTTTGGGGCACACGTGAGGAACACAAATGCAAACAAGCCTGAATGGTCCCCAGGACTATATACAACTGAAAACTCAC